AGGACCTGGTCTGTGACAGATACACTATAAAAACTCCACCACCACCAAAATTTGTTGAATGATAAGCTGGGAGTGGGGAAGAAAACATTTTCCAAAGCACACTTTTGGAGCATAGAATGATCACTCTGTTCATAGCAACAAGCCATCCCAACCAGCTGGCACTGCAGTGTCAGAGACTTTGTGTTCTTACTTGCTACACTTGAGAAACCATGTGTGTCTACCCGTCAGACCATATTAGTTTTTGGAGAAATTCCAGTTATACAAACCCATGATTCAATTTCCTCACCACCTCTATTGACAATGTTTTTAAATAGTTCTATTTTGTTTTCTTCCCTGAAAGGAAATGGTCTCTTAATGAGTCAACTAGACAGTCAAGGCAGAAAATGGTATAAATCTGACAGTTTCTACTTGTCTTCATTCACTCATTCAGCCAAAATTTATTACAAAGCACCAAAGCAAAAGATACATGGGTCCTTTCCTAAATTCATAAGGTAGGAAGTTTTGGGTGTCTTTATTTTATTTTATTTCACTTCATTGATTTGACAAGGTTTATTGACAAATAACTATGAAATTGACTCTATGCTAAGCAAATGTAATATGAAGATAAATGAAACGCAGACCCAGCCCTGGAAAAGATCAAAGTCTGTGAACTAATGTGGAAATATAACTGCAGTGCCATAAGAGCTAAAACTGAGGTATTTAAAAAGTGGAGCGAGGACCGGGGATTTAGCTCAGTGGTTCCAGTGCCTGCCTCGCAAGTGCAAGGTCCCGAGTTTGATGCCTGGTACCAAAAAAAAAAAAAAAAGTGGAATGAGAACTCAAAAAATATATAAAGTCAGTTTTTACAGAAACTGACTAAGAAGAAAGAAAAATATGTACAAAGGTTCAGAGTAAGAAGAAGCAAATCTGAAATGAGAAAACTGAAGCTGAGTGAGGATAAGTAACTTACCTAATGTTACATAGTTGGTGATAGGGCTGAGAGCTGAACCTAAGCAGAAGTTATTTATGGAAGTGTCTTATTTCTTGGGTGTTGAAACAAAAAAAAAGGTTGAGAACCACTGCTTAAGGCCTGACATGTGAGTTATAGGAACTCAGATCACATTCAGTAGACAACGGGGAATCATGAGATTTTTTTAAAAGTAGATCACATTGATCACATGTGGGCTTTAGAAATACAAATCTACTACTGATTCTTAACTCTAACTGAATTCAGAAAAACTTGAGAATCTTTCTAAAGTTTGGCCAGGGAGCCATTTTGGAACAATTAAGCTAGAATTTCTGGAGGTGGTACACAGTTTTCTTTGTTTTAAGTTCATCAGGGGATACTAATATGTCCTTAGGGTCAAAGACTACCACTCCAAGAGGATCAACTGAAAGAAGAAAAGGACTCATATTACTAAGCACTAATATGTTTGAGGCTTTGTTCTAAATGCTTTATACAGTAACTATAGTCTATATACTGTACATAAATGCATGCCTGTAATCCCAGTACTAAAGAGACAGAGACAGAAGGATTGTAAGTTTGAGGTCAGCCTGAGCTACATAGCAAGACACTCTCAAAAAAAAAAAAAATGCTGGGCATGGTGGTGCCTGAGGCAAGAGAATCACCATGAGTTCAAAACCATCCTGGGCTACATAGTGAGTTCAAGGCCAACATGGACTACATAGTGAGACCCTATCTCAAAACAAAACAAAATAAAAGATTAGACATACATACCCAAAACATGCAAACAAAAAGATTATTTATTATATATATATAAAATCTTTTTTTAACTGTGTATACAGTAAAACCTTGGATTGCAAGTAACTTGTTCCACAAGTATTCCGCAAGATATGCAAATATTTCTAATAAATTTTAACGTAAGGGGCCAGGGATTTAGCCCAGTGGTTTCGCCGCCTGCTGTGCAAGTGCAAGGACTCGAGTTCAATCCCTGGTACCAAAAAAATAAAAAAATAAAAAAATGAAAAATTTTAACTTGATAAACAAGCGATGTCTTGCAATATGAGTAGTATGTGAAAGTCTTCTTACACAATAACTCTCCCCTCTGTTGTCTCCCCCACAACAGCCAGGATGGTTTTCAAAGGTAAGAGCAGGTTAATTTATTTTTTAATTTTTCTTTATGTTCTGTATTTTCTTATTTTGTATTATAATATAGGATTGTAATCATTTTATATGAATATTTGGGTTGTGGAATGAATCATCTGAGTTTCTGGCATTTCTTATGTGGAAATTTGCTTTGTGATATATAAGTGCTCTGGATTACAAGCATGTTTCTGGAATGAATTATGCTTGCAAGCCAAGGTTTTACTATCTATCTATTGGTGATCAACCCATTGATTTACAGATGGAGAAAGCAACATGATTTAGTTTGTCACGTTTTATTTTTATTTTTGTCATTGCATTTGTACTATACAAAATTATTTGCTTCTGAATTGCCTAAGTATGGCAATCTACTTTGCTTCACTGTCCTAGCCCCAGTTCCTGCGCTCCAGGCACGACCAACCTGTGGCCTACTGACATGCCTGGTTTGCCTGGGCTGCACACTCAGGAATTGTCTTGGGCCACATATAAAATATATAATATAGTTAATATATGTAACAAATCTTTATTTTAAAATATTTTTATTATAACACAGGCCTATCCAACTCCCAGGGCACAGCTGAACACACCTCCTTTGGACTCTCAAAACAAACCGATAAATGAATGAATGTATCAGAAACATTCTATGGCTATGTGGAGAACGGATTTCATAAAGGCTAAGGGTAGAAACAGGGAGACTGATAAAAGTAGAAATAATGATGGTGGTTTGGTCTAGATTGGTATCTGTATGAATGAATAGATTTGGAATATAGTTTGAGGGCAGAGCTTAATATACCTGACAGATTCCATGCACAGATAAAGGAAAAGGAGGACTCACAGGTAACTCTTATGTTATCAGCTGGGTTGAATGGAGGGTGGAATTATTAAGTTCTGCACACATTAAGATGCTTAGTTGACTTTAAGTGGAGATGTCCAAGTAGGTAATTGGTTCTATGAGTCTGAAGCTCAGAAAAAAATGTCAGGGCTGGAGAAATAAATTTGGAACTCATCAACATATAAATGATACACAGGAATAATGTTGTATAGGGATTTGACCTCTTATCATTCAGTTATAGATACTTAGCAAAGAGAGCAAGTTCAAGTACATAATTTCTTCACATCCAAGGAAAGTAGGTGCAGAGTGAGCATGAGATGAGGGACGTGAATCTACTGTTCCCTCGGATGGATTCAGTCCCTGATTCCCTCTTTTTTTCCTCTTTCTCTTTCTCTCTCTCTCCTCTCCCTCTCTCTCCTCAACAAACTAAGATGAACTAGTATAGATGAAACAAATTAGCATATATATTGAAATATTTTTGAAACAACAGAGTATGTATTTGGGAAAGTAGTTATCTCTCCTCTATTTTGAGCATGCTCTCTCTCTCCCTTCCTTCCTCAAATATATATATATATATATATATAGAGAGAGAGAGAGAGAGAGAGAGAGAGAGCTTTCACCTAACATTGTTCTCAAGTTTAAGATAATTAATTTGAAAGGAGACAATTAGCATGATTCAGCTGTATGATAAGGGTGGGAAGAGGACTTAGCTGGGGTTAAAGTCTGGTCAGGTAAATACTATGGAGGATTATAACTTCTCCTTCCCCCTCCAATAAAAGTCCCCTGGAATTAATTGTTCAACAGAGGTGTAGTAGCCAGGGATTTAGCTCAGTGGTGCTGCCCCTGCCTTGCAAGCCAAGGTCATGAGTTCCATCCCCAGTACCAAAACAAAAAACAAAAAAACTAATGTCAATAGAGGTGTAGTGGCCTAGGACCTGAGAAGGGAAAGGAAACCCCTACAGAATGCTTCCCCTATAAGGAAGAGTACTCTGCATTATATTAATGACTTGCTTTCTTCCTTTCAGAGGAAAGAACTGTATTGCATATTGAAAATGTGCTATATTCTCTACCTTAATAAGCATGGCCTTGGAATTAGATCTAAGTTTAAATCTCTCCTATCCTCTCCATCTGTTAGCTGTGACCTGGTCAAATTTAACCTTTTTGAGACTAATATCTCATTTGTAAAATAAGGATTATACCTGCTTTGGAACTGTTGTGAGGATTAAGCTAGGCTCAGAGATTGTGGTGTATAATGGAAGGAACATGGGCTTGGGGTGTTAAAAGATTTACATTGAATTCACTTGTGTCATTAAATAATTTGATGATTTGGGTTGGGTTCTTTCACTAATATGTGCCTTAGTTTTCACATTAGTAAAATGGAGATCATAAGATTACATCTGCTTTGAAGACTTGTAGAAATGTTATTGTTCACCATACAAGGCTCAAAATGGTTTACATGGGTCAGGAATCTGTTTATTTATCTACCTATCTATCGATCGATGGATCGACCCATGAAATTTTTTGAATAGTTTCCTAGCGTGTTTAGGTCGCAATCCAAACTCAGTGACCTTTTTACAAGCTGTTTTGCGACAGTTTGTCTCTACACCTTATCCTTACCTCTCTTTCTCACTGCAGCTTGCCTACAGTTCCCTCAGCCTTCTTCCTATTCCCACAATGTTTCAAATCTTTTTCATCTTTCAGACAAGTGTTTCCTCTATCTGCAATCCTGTTTCCAAATCTTGGAAAGCGCAAATATCACTAAGGCAGAATGCACTTGACTAATGTAACTAAAAGTATCCGCCTGCCCCCGGTCTCCTTCTCTATCGAGCACACCTTTTTATTTGCTTTATAGTATCGGCTTCGCAGAATCTTCTGTCCCCACTATTATATAAGCTTTCTTAGGAGAGGAATCTTGGGGTGGTGTTCATCAAACTATCCCTAAAAGTGTAGAACAGTGCCTAGCATAAGAAGATTATCGATATCTTTTGAAGGAATTTAATAATTACTAACTACAAGCCAATAAAAGCGCCCCGCCTCAAGTGACAGCCAGGTTCCGCCTCCCAGAGCCACTTCCGCTCATGCTCGGGTGTGAGGGCGTCGTGGGAGGAAGTCGTCTACGCAGGCGCTCTGGGGCGTGAGGATTTCTGGGTAAAAATGGATGTCCAAGATTTGTTTCGCCGGCTTGGCGCTGGGGCCAAATTTGACGTGAAACGCTTCTCAGCCGACGCAGCTCGATTTCAGGTACTTTGCGTAGGGGCGGAGGCCAGAGTGACAGAGAAGGAGCAGGATCTCGAAGATAAGCCGGCAGCTAACCAAGCGGCCGGCATTCCCGGAGACCCCGCGGCCTGCGTTTGATCATCCTTGGGCATTTCCCCCTTATTTTGGATTTGGCTTGCTACGCAGACTTACCAGGCACAGGACTTCTAGATGACTCTTTTCAGAGCCCTTGGTAGATTGAGTTGAGCCTAGCACGGAAGATCTCTTTTCCTGCTTCTTGGTTCAACCAAAGCAAAGTTGGAAATTTTCAAAAGTAAATTTCCCTGAAACTTGTGGAAAGGAATTTCGAAAACAAAAGTGGGAAAAAAAGAGATTATTTTTTATAGTCGACCCAGGTTTGACTTGGTATCCATCTAGCAGCACTGCACGTGGTTCTTTGTATTGCTCCAATCCGGCATATTAAGTAACCAATGAGAAGAGCGATTTACACCTGGACGATTTTATATAGGGAAGTAGTGAGTGTCCAGAGAAGTCAGTTGTGGGAAATCTTGAATGTCAAGGTTGCTATAAGAGAATAAAGGTGGTTGTTGTTTTGGAGTTTTTTGTGTTTCTTCTGACTGCATTATAATGTAACTGTTAAAAGAGTATCAACTCTGGAACCAGATTGTTGGAGTCGTAACACACAATTTGCCAGCTGATTGTTTCGAGCCCTTAACTTTCTAATATCTCGATTTTCTCATCGGTAATGTGCTATTCACCTTGTAGGGTTGCTATGAGAATTAAGCAATTTGATACATATATGAACATGCTTAGAAATGTGCTTGACATACAGTAAACATATAAGCTTTAATTGCTAGCATTGTTGTGAGATCAAGAAAAGTGTCATTTTGGATTTCATTTATCTAAAGGGACATATGAGCTTGACAATTATTTGGTGGAAAGGTTAAAAAAAAAAGACTGGGAGTCATTAGACCCATTTTCTTTCTGATACTTCTGGTTGGAGGGAAGCATTGCTATTTTTCAAGATTTTATTTTTAATTTTTTGGGTTTTAGATAGGAAAAAGGAAATATGGCTCTGATTCTTCAGAGATGCTGCAGAGTCTGGACTTCTTTGGAAACAAAAAGTCCGTCCCAGGTGAGTGTGGTGCGACACAAACACACCAGGAGCTCCAAAATGAAGAGAAAAAAGAAGAGAGCCTAACTGAAAGAAAGAGGGGGCCAAACAAGAAAAAGAGAAAGAAAATGATTTCAGGTTAGTGTTGGATTTCTATGTTTTTTTCTATTTAACTTTTTTCAGTTACAAAATAATCTGAGCCCATAAGTCACACTGTTTACAGCCATTTGTCAGTTGATGTCATTCAAGTTATTTCTAGGTACGTGCCATTATACATACTACTATGATAATATTTATACATACTATTAAGGTATATATATCCTTTTGTACAGGTGCTGTTAATGCTATAGACTAGCATCCCAAAAGCAGAAATACTTGGTGAAAGGGTATGCATGCATGCTTCAACACATACTATAAAATGACTTCCCATACCTTTGTCATATTATCAGTCTTAAATTTTTTTCCAGTTTAATGAATGAAACTAGTTTATATTTGTATTTCCTTGAGCAAGTGTTTGAGCATCTTCATATATTTTACCAGACAATTTACATTTCAATTTTTGTACTTCTCTGTTCTTACCCTTTGCTTATTCTTATTAGGGTTTTGTTTTTTTCAGTATTATACTAAAGAGTATTTATCTTTTTTCTTTGTTATATCTATTAAGTTTCCTAGCCATCTACCTTTTTTTATAAAGTAAATAGTTAAGTTATACAATAAACAAGTACATTTCCTTCCCACTCCATCTCCAGTCCTCTGTTTCTCCAGAGGTAACCACTGTTACATCAATTTCTATTGTTATTTTTCTAGGGACATTTTATTCACATATATTAATTAGTACATCCCTTAAAAAATACACTGTATTTACAAATAATTATATATACTATTAACATGAGTAATCTATGTATGTTCTATTGTGAAGCTTCCCTTCACTTTTTTTTCAGGCAAACCAAATAAAATACATTTTATTTTGGATATTATATTAAATTTACATTACATTTTTGATATTAAAATCTTTACAAAGACAAAATTGGAATCCATGGTAAAAATCATGAAACGGAACATTCTGTAATGACTCTACAGTGTTCTGATAAGTATAAAAACCATTAAATTAATGTTTTTGTCTAATACCTCTCCTCCTTTTTTAAAAAAATGTATTTTAGAGCTTGGAATCAGTAGGCAATGCACTCCTTGTTCAGTTTTACATAACATAGTATCCCATTGTACCGTCCATAATTGAATTAAGGGCCTGGGGGTGTAGTTCAGTCATAGAGTACATATTTAGCATGTGGGAGGCCCTAGGTCAATTCCCAGTACTGTATGTATGTATGTGTATATATATATATATATATATATCCCCCTCAACTTCCAAAAATAATTAACAAGTTTTTCTGTGATGGACATTTAGTTTATTCTCACACTTTTGCTGTTGTAGTATTTAATATATCTATTTATGTTCTATACATGTGAATATATCCAATAAATTCTTATAAGTGAAATTGCATAGTGAACAAAGATTTATTTTAAATTTAGATATTGTAGAATTATCTACCAGAAACACTGTATTAATAGGAAGTACACTGTTTTGTTCATTGTAATACAGTGCAGTGTCTCATCGTACATTGTAGGGATGGTCCATAATTGATTTGGCAATTCTGATGAACGTTTACTTTGTTTCCATACTCCATGATAAATAAAAGTATGCCACAAATGTAGGAAAACAGTTTGAATGTTAGGCGGATAGGTACTGTAACCATTTAACAACAAATGCATGGAGGCCATGATCTGTGATTTTATGTATAGCCAGCCATGTACCTATTTTTAATCAGAAAATTAGAGATGTTGTGAATTAGTAATGATTTGGGTCTGTTAGTACCAACTGCCTCATAAAGAGATTTTTTTTTTAAGTCATTCTTTGTAATACTCACTAGCAATATATGAGAACTTTTCTTTCTATAAATTTTCCCTTTGTGTATTTTGTACCCGTTTTGTACTGTACTAAGACCATCCATTTCTTATTAAACCCTATATGTTAAGATATCAGCTCTGTCTACCATATGTATCCAAATGTTTTTAAATATGTTTACAGTTTGTCATGTGTCATTTGTCCTTTTTCTTTTTTGCCATTTTACAGTTAAATCTACCTTTTTATTGTATGGTGCTCCCACCCACACGAGGGTAAAGGAACTTCTGGCATGGGTTGTTGTTTTTTTTTAATTCTTCTATATTTTATTTGAAGCTTCATTTCCTTATAATGAAATATTTGCTCCTATGGAATTTTATTTGGTAACAGGAGTGAACAGAAAACTAAGTTAATTTTTTTCCCAAGTGGCTACTTATCCTAATACCATATCTTGATAATCGCATTTCCCTATTGAGTTTTAACTGCAGCTTTTATTGTAAACTTATTTCCTATGTATATTCAGGTCTGTCTCTGGACTCTGTTCTGTATTACTGATTGTCTGTGATTTCATGCACCAATTCTAGCTTGTTTTAATTACTGTGAATTTGTAATATGAGAAAAAAAAATTATAGAGTGGGGTGATGCATACCATGTTTATTGATTGGGAAAGTTATTTTTTCCCCAAAGTGATCTATTAGTATAATCTCAATTTATGTCCCAGCAGGCTTGCTTTTTTTTTTTTTTGGTAGAAATTAACAAAGAATAAGACTTAGCTGGATGTGGTAGCACATGCCTGTAATCCCAGCACTCATGAGACTGAGGCAGGAGGACTGCTAGGAGTTCAAGACCAGCCTGAACTACATAGTGAGACTCTGTCTCAAACAAAACAAAACAAAATATCAAGACTTAATATAAGATTACACTAATCAAGGTAGTTTGTTTCCAGAGAGCTATGTAGATCAGATAAAGAGTTCATGGACCATTACCTGTGTATGGACAGTTAGTTTGCAGCAGAGGTGCTCAAGCATTTCATTCAGTAGGGAAAGTAAAGTCTTTTCAACAAAGTGTTCAGGATTTCTATGGGGGAAAAAAGTGAACATTAAGTCTTATCTCAGACTATCCCCAAAATTAACTTTAAATAACTCAAACTGAAGTGCAAAATGTAAAATTATAAAATTTAAAGGAGAAAACAGGAAAAAATCTATTGTGACCTTGTATGCAGGTTTTTTGTTTGTTTGTTTTGTACCAAGGATTGAACTCGGGTCCTTGGACTTTCGAGGCAAGTGACAGAACCACTGAGGGCAGAGGTTTTTAAGACTACAAAACAAACAAACAAAAAAACACCACAAACTGTAAGGGGAAAAATTGGTATCTTGGACTTCATTGCTGCTCATCAAAATGTAGCAGTAAGAGAGGATGTAGAGTAGTGATAGAGTGCCTGCTTAGGAAGTGTGAGGCCTGGGTTTGATTGCTGGCACAAAAATAAAACCAAAAAAACCTCGTTAAAAGCTAAATATGGTGACAGACCCTATAATCCTAGCACTTGAAGGCTGAGGCAGGAAGATTGCAATTTCAAGCCCAACCTGGGCAATTTATCAACTTAGCAAGACCCCACCTCAAAAATAAAAAAATAAAAAGGACTGGAGATGTAGCTGGTGTGAAGCTCTGGGTTCTATCCTCCCCGACTGGAGATAGGGAGTTAGAGGTGGAGCAATAAGAAAATGAAGACAGCCATAGTTGGAAAAATATTTGCAACAATGTATGTCAAACACTTGTATCCACTCACTAGAGAAGACGTGAGACTAGAAGACTTGAAGACTGGAGAAGATATATGCATGGCAGTAAGCACATAAAAAATATTCAGCATCATTAATCGGGCAAATTTAGACTATAATAGAGTACTACCCACATACATTAAAATGGCTAAAAATAAAAACACTTGACTATACCAAGTGTTGGCAAGGATGTATAAAAACAAGTTCACATTCGATGGTAAAATGATATGATCACTTGGGAAAATTCTGGACTTTTTTTTTTTTTTCTGAAGTTAAACATGTATCTGTGATGTTTCAGTTATTCCTCTCCTAGATATTCACCCAAGAGGAAGTGAAAAATGTCTTCGGGAGAACTTGTACTCAGACGTTCGTAGCAACTTTATTTGTAATAGTCTCAAACTGGAAATGACCCAAATGTCCTTCAATAGATTAAGGATAAACAAATTATATATCCATACAGCAGAATAATAGTAAAATGTTAAGTCTCAAAATAATTGTCCTGAGTGAAAGAAGCCAGACTGTAAATTAGTACAATGTATGTACTAATATGTGTACAATATATGAATCATATATAATGATTCCACTTATATAAAATTCCAGAAAAGGCAAACTAATCTGTAGTAATAGGAGTTAGATTGGAAGTTATCTAGGGATAAAGTGATAAATTCCTAGAGGCCACAAGGAAATTTGGAAGGTGATGAAAATAACCTTGAATGTGATGATGGTTTAATGTATGTTTATGTATTATATATATATATATATATATATATATATATTCATTCTATACTTTTTTTTTGATAGTGCTGGGTGTTGAACCCAGTGCCCAGCACGTTAGTCAAGTGCTTTGCCATTGAGCTACATCTCTAGCCCCAGTGTATACTTTAAAATATATGCAGTTTAAAAAATAAATAAAAAAGGGGGCTAGGATTTAGCTCAGTAACACCGCACCTGCCTCACAAGCCCAAGGTCCTGAGTTCGATTCCTGGTACCAGGTTGGGGGGGATATATAGAGTTTATTGTATGTCAGTTATATCAGTGAAGTTGAAAAAATTTTTTTCTAATTTCAATAGAACTGTTTTCTCATTACTCTTAGACTATTTTAGGTTATTCTTACATATTTGTTCTCCATAAAAATATTAATTGACCGAGTATAATTTATAGACATTGGGGAATTGCTATCTTTACCATATTGAGTAGCCTAGTGTACTGTGTTTTGTTCACTGCTATTGTAAGTGAAATCTTTCATTCTGTTTACTTTCTAGCTGACTTTTTGGATATAAAGAAGCTGCCTACATTATTGTTGTTTATGTAATTTGTTAATTCCCTCTTTTCAAGTATATAGTCATCACATTACATAGCTGAAACCATCAATAAAGAGAAGAGGGTGAGCTTCAGAGCCCTGATTAGGCCAGCATAATTTGCCTATTTCTAATCTTTATACATCTCATTACTTTCTCTCATCTAGTTGCATAAGGTAGTACTTTTTCTTGTTTAGTGTGAAAGTGTGGCCTGTTTGGTACACCCAAGGCTGTCATGTTGAAAATCTTTTAACCTGTAAAAATATATTTTAGAAATTACTTCTCAAGAAGAAGGTATGACTATACAGTGGATGTCATCTGTGGAAGCAAAGATTGAAGATAAAAAAGTTAAAGGAGAAAATAAACTAACTTCAGGGAAGTTGGAACATCTCCGAAAGGAAAAGGTTAGAAAAATGTCTTTAGCCCCAAAAGTGTGTAATTTTCTGACCTGGTGACTTTTTGTCTGGACATGAGTAATTCTTTTGGTAAAGTGAATATAGTTTTGTTAAGATAGAAGATGGGGGTCTGGGGATTTAGCTTAGCGGTTCTGCTGCCTGCCTCGGAAGCACAAGGTCCCAAGTTCAATCCCCAGTACCAAAAAAAAAAAAAAAGATGGAAGATGAATTACATTTGTTTAGGTTTTACTTTAATAAGAATTTAAAACAGGGGCGGGGATTTAGCTCAGTGGTTCCGTCGTGTGCCTTGCAAGTGCAAAGACCAAAGTTCGATCCCTGGTACAAAAAAACCTTAAAGTAGGTATTTATATTGTGGCTAAAAAGTTGAAGGTATAATTGAAGGTATACATGTAGAGAGAGAGATGTGTCTGTGTGTAATAATTCTTACCCTGTTCAACTTTAAAGATTAATAATATGTTTAGAATAAAAGTTTTAAAATTTCTTACCCTCTTTTGTTAAACATGAAATTTGGCTCCCATTCTATTCTATATTGAGTTCACTGGTTTGGAAGGATTTCTTCTGTTAGGGATTAGAAGGTTAGAGTTCTTTAAAAACCTATTTTATAGCTTAGGAATAAGGGGAGTCAAATATAAAATAACAAGTACATCCTAGTGTGTGCTGTACACTTACATGTTGCTGATGGAAAGGTATATACAGCTCATTTCAGATATCACTGTGGCCTAAAACGAGAATTTGAGTGTCTCTGGGCCAAAGAATGAGGAAGCAAACCGAATTACTACCACTAGACTCTTACTTTTGCTTTATATTTATTTATTTACTTATTTTTTGGCTTTTGAGACAGAATCTTGCTATGTAGTTCAGGCTGCCCTTAAACTCACTGTGTAGCCAAGGCTGGCTTTGAACTGATGGTGATCCTCCTGCCTCTGCCTCCTCAGTGCTGGGATTACAGGCATGTGCCACCATGCCCAGCTTTCCACTTTTGGTTTTAGTAAGAGTTTTGGGGTTTTTTTTTTTTTCTTAAAACATTGGCACTTGTGGGTCAGGGATTTAGCTCAGTGGTTTCGCCACCTGCTGTTCAGGCGCAAGGACCCGAGTTCAGTCCCTGGTACCAAAAAAAAAAAACATTGGCACTTGTATGCTAAGCACCATGAAAACAAGTGGATTCTGTGACTGTCTTCTAGATGTTTTTGTATGTATAAATATATGTTATGACCGTGACAGTAATAATTAGTATAAATAACACATTACTCATTGAAGCAACACATGAAGAAAGCATAGATAGGTTTGGTTTTTTTTTTATGAAGGTCATCTATTTATGAAATGAAATATACTTACTATCTATTGTTTGGGGGCTCAGATTTAATCAAAACGTTTCAGATGTCATTAAGCTTACCCAGAAACCATTACTGTTGTTTTACAACATCTGAGAATAAATGTATTTATTAGGCCATGTCCATGGTGGGCTTTTCATTTCACTTTTCAGATAAACTTCTTCCGGAATAAACACAAAATTCACATCCAAGGAACCGATCTTCCTGATCCAATTGCTACATTTCAGCAACTTGACCAGGAATATAAAATTAATTCTCGACTGCTTCAAAACATTCTAGATGCAGGCTTCCAAATGCCGACACCAATCCAAATGCAAGCCATTCCAGTTATGCTGCATGTGAGTATGAATGTGTAGGATGCCTGTAACAATCCTTTCTGTCTGTCTGCTCATTCTCTTCCCTCTCTCAATATCCTCCTTTCATCTTACCTCCCTTGTTAAAATCCTTCACTTGCTTTTAAGGTCCATTCAAATGCCTGTGTTCCTAAAAACTTGTCTTAATCACTACAACTGTAAGTGATCTTTCTCCTTCTCTTTCCCTACTCACCAAATCTCCACTGCTCTTAGAGTGTTCTTTTTCTTACAGCATTTAAACTCTCTGAGTGTAGGGAATATGGTTTCATCTTTTCATTGTTCATTTAGTTTATAGTGCCCAGAAGCTATTTCATAAATACAAATGCTTTCTAAAATTTTTGTACATAACCCAACTTAGTTTCTTTCCCAATACTTTTATTATTGAAGTATACTATACTTCAATAAAATGTACAGATTTTAAGTGCACAATTTAATTTCAACAATTACCACGCCAGTGAAAATACGAAACATTTGTGTTCCCCCCGAAATTTTGTTGTACTCTTTCCATTCAGTCCTCACTCTACTGCTTCCCAGGAGCAACTCTGTTCTGATTTCTGTCGTCCTATATTTGTTTATCTCTTCTAGAATTTCAGATACAATCACTATTTAACCTATTATTCTTGAGTTCTTTTATTTTACATACTCTTAATTTCAACCATAATACATATATTGGTAGTTTGTTACAGAATAGTATATTCTATTGTATAAATATGACAGTTTGTTGATAGAGCTGTAAATGAACCTAGTTTGTTTTGCGGGGGTTTTTTGAGACAGGGTCTCCTTGTGTAGTTGAACTGGGCTTGAACTGGTGGTAATTCTCCTGCCTCAGTCTCTTGAGTGCTGGAATTACAGGCATGCTCCACCAGGCCTGGCTAATTTAAATAAAAATTTCTGAGGTTTCTTTTGTAACAAAGAGAGCTGACTTTTCTCCACATAACAAAGCAGGCCTTCAGTTCGGATAACCACATCTATTTAGTCTTTCAGTGAGTCCTTTCTCAGTGAAATGAGAATACACTCATATATTTGAATAATAACTGTTAACTCACAATTTGGTAATTTTCATTTAAGATTGTTTTCTGTCATGCATTAGCTTAAAGCTTTAAAACTCCGTGACTTACCTGAAGATTGTCACCTACAAATTATTCTGTCACTCAGATCATTGCCTCTATTTTTAACCTCCAGTCATTCTCTTATTTAACAAAATCTTCATAGGCATTGAGCTGTACAGATAAAAAGTTGATTTTATAATTTGGCTTCAAAAAGAGTTGAGTGGGAAAGAAAAATTAAAATTGTGTAATTCTCTTTGAATTGTAGTTATCTGCATTGTTTATTCATTCATGTGGACTTCAGGAGCCATGCTCAGAAGCTTGGCTGGCAGGGATGGAGGGTGTTAGAAAAGCAAGTACAGGAAGAAGTTAGAAAAGCGGATAGGACTTGAACAATTAGACTAATTAGGTTTAATTTTATTTGTTGTTTGTATGGATGGTAGCATTCTTTGACCAGGGTCTGAAAAATTTATATACTTTTCCTTGTACTTACTATATTCTATGTTTTTAGGGTCGGGAACTTCTGGCTTCTGCTCCTACAGGATCTGGGAAGACTTTGGCTTTTAGTATTCCCATTTTAATGCAGCTGAAACAGCCCACAAATAAAGGCTTCAGAGCGCTGATTATATCCCCAACACGAGAACTTGCCAGCCAGGTATAACTTGTAGCTATTGAGATGATATATTTGCTATTTGCATCAGTAATCTTTGAAGTAATTTAAAAAGAGCTCAAAAGAATGAGGCTCATGTCTTCTGTCATAGTTAAATATTCTGTACAGAGTGTTATGTATATTACTACATATGGGCCAGTCTTCTAGTCTTTCTATATTTTTCTGAAACATTATTTTAACATTTATACTACTTTGGTAAATGCTCAAAAGATCTTTTAAGTTGAAAAGCTGTAGTGATACTTTCTAAAATTTATTTTTCTCACTTAGAAAACTGAAACCTTATTTCAGTTTTGAAATAGTAAACACACACACACAAAAAGAAAAACTGTGATCTGCTCCACCTTCCTAGTGTGCTTAATATAAAACACATGCCAAGTGAGAGATAGTATTATAATTAGCACTGTATTCTGCAAGCAATATGAAACATGTTTAAAGAGTGTTGCTTTTATATCTTGGACCTAATTTACTAAGTTCTGAAGTAACTACTGTGTTGTATGTATTAGGCTTTGACATTCTAAAACGCTGACAACCTCAGGTTAAACTACAGATTATTACAAGTTTGAAATGAGATAGTCGTGTTGATAATAGATTTACTAATAATGTAAAAGAAGCTGTACACTCTATCTGAGTATCTTTGCAGATCATGTTTTAACATTTTCTATTTTAGATTCACCGAGAGTTAATTAAAATCTCTGAGGGAACAGGATTTAGAATACACATGATCCACAAAGCAGCAGAGGCAGCCAAGAAATTTGGACCTAAATCATCTAAGAAATTTGGTAAGAAATTTATGCTTGTGCTGGGTGTGGTGGCAAACTTCTACAATCCCAGCCCTCTGGAAGATAGGGCAGAATTCCTGCAAGTTTGAGGCCAGCCTGGGCTACACAGTGAGTTTTCAAGGCCAGCCTCAACTGCATAGCAAGACCCTGCTTCAAAAAAACAAAAACTGAACAAACAAAACAAATTTATGCTCGGGATGTAGAGTATGTAAAGGATGTGGAAATTATAAATATCCTAATTTCACATAAGAGTTTAGTCATGTACAGAATTAGTTTTATTTTTAAAGAAGCTTAAACAAGATCCCAGTAGCTATATAAATAATAAACCAGTGGTGAGATAATTTTGCCCATTACCCTCTACCACAGTAACATTTGGCAGTATCAATTTTGCCAAAAAATTTGGCAATTATTAGTTGTTGAAATCAGGGAGAGGAACCAATAGCATGTAGTGGGAAGAAGTCAAGGATACTGTTAAATATCCTATAATACCTGAGACAGTCCTCGCCAAATAAGAGTTTTCTGGCCCAGGGCCGGGGATTTAGCTCAATGGTGCCGCCGCCTGCCCCACAAGCGCAAGGTCCTGAGTTCCATCCCCAGTACAAAAAAAAAGAGTTCTCTGGCGCAAAGTATCAACAGTTCTAAAGTTGGAAAACCCTACTTTATACCAGTGATTCTTAATCTGCCATGGAGTTACTCTGGCAGATAAGAATGATTACCTCTTCCTATCCTTGTACTAGCCAGAGAGTATGCACCCCCATTCCTCCCCAGTATTGAGGATCAAACCCCAGGGCCTTGCACATGGTAGGCAAGACAAGAGCTCTACCACTGAGCTATACCCCAGGCCATTTGACTTATTTTGAGATACAGTCTAAGTTGCACAGGCTGGGCTCACACTTGCAGACCTTCTGCCTTAGCCTCCAAGTCAGCTGGGATTACAGACATGTACAACCAATGAGAATCTGCCTTTATGTCTTTTATCTTAAGCTGAGTGAAATATTTAAAGAAAGGATTTTCCTGGAAGGAAAAAAAAGAACTTGCAAATCAAATTGTTGTATTATATAGTGTTCTTGCCTCTTAAAAACTGAGAAGCCTGCTCAATATTAATAAAAAGAGTGTAGGTAGCTTATGCTATACTGGGGAAATACATGTATTCTTTACTAATAAGGAAGAACTTTTATGTCAATAACTACTCTTTCCCTTTCCCACTGAAGATTATTAAATGAAATTCAGGAGTCTTAATTCCTTAGTTCAAAAAGGTTATGTCTTTTGCATATTCTACTATTTGTTTTTCCTATAGATATTCTTGTGACTACTCCAAATCGACTAATTTATTTATTAAAGCAAGATCCACCAGGAATAGACTTAACAAGGTACAGATAATAGTTTAATGTCTCTCACGGGTGTTTTTCATTTAGTTGATTATATTTTGTTCTTAATTGCTTATATTATTGCCCTTCAGAGCTTGCTGTCTGCCAATTTAAGTTGGTGCATCATTAAACTCATAGGAAAATTAACTATCTGGTCTGGAAGAAAGTTAAATATTTTGATAAGCAGTTAATACATAGACTTTTTCATATCTTTCAGTGAAGGTAATAGAGTTCATGAGATTCATGGAAAGCTCAGTTGTTGCTAATGGAACTTCATCTTTGAAGCTAATAAAATATGTACATTGGTTATGTTTTTCTCATTTTTACCTTTTTTTGTGCTACTTTTTTTTTTTTACCTTTTTCATGTATGATAAAGTAGCTCTTAGAACCAGCATCATGGTTTGACTTTTCCATGTGTTCCCACAGTTTAGTGAAGTGTTTTTGTATCTTGCAGTATAATATCCACAAGTTGTTCTGTTATTTCTTAGTGTCGAGTGGCTGATAGTAGACGAATCAGACAAACTCTTTGAAGATGGCAAAACTGGATTTAGAGACCAGCTAGCTTCCATTTTCCTGGCCTGCACATCCTACCAGGTCAGAAGAGCTATGTTCAGTGCAACTTTTGCATATGATGTTGAACAGTGGTGCAAACTCAACCTGGACAATGTCATCACTGTATCCATTGGTGCAAGGTAATTATTTTTCCACTTTATCCCACTAGTTTGTTTTCTTAGTATATGCGCTCCCAAAGCAAGCACTAGTTTTTTTTTTTAATATAAGTGATTGTTTTAGACTTGAGGAGATAGCTTGTTTGTAATGAGAGTAACAAGGGATACAGCTTTACTGGTACTGTATAAAATAAAGTCAAGATTCATTAAGGGTTTTCTGTTTCCAGATAATCTATATAGAGAGTTTTATATTTTCCTGTTACTGTTCTCATCATCATGTTTTTATTTGACTTTCCATTCATAAAATGACATGACCTCTATGGTCACTCAGGATTCAGTTTCTCTGATGGTTTATGTAAGTAGGACTACAAGATAAAACTGATATTACTGAGTCACTTCATTTATAATTCCTTTTTTTTAAAGTTCAAGGAAATTATGGTATGACCTGATAGAATATTGTGCAACCAATGAAACAGTTAAGTATAGTGCTTATAATACCATATAAATGAAAAGAAAATTGGACATGTTGGCACACACCTATAATCTCAGCTGTTTAGGAAGCTGAGGCAGGTGCTCTCAAACTCAGGAGCACAAGGCCTGAGAAATACTTCTCAAAAAAGAAGCAAAATGGAACAGTAAAGAATACCCTGTCTATTTTAAACTTAAAACTTCTATGTATATAAAAAGAAAGCAGAACAAGTTTACCTTTAAACATGATTTAAAGGCAGAGAATAGAATGGGAAAAGTATTTATTACATAGTACAATAGGTTGGAGCAGCTTATAAAGCTCTAATATAGCTTTCATCCCCACTTGTCAGTTTCTAAATAAACCCACGCTAATCATTAAGAAAAAATTTAGTCATGTATAATAACATTTAAAATGTTCTCATTATTTTACCCAATAGTTTTTTAAATTTTATGCATTTGAAAAAATTTTGTAAGTTAATAGTCACATGAAAATTTACAAGTAGACTACAACAAATCATTAGTTTATTCTAAAATGGTAGGATTGTAGGCAGTTTACTGGTTTTTTTAGGTTTTTTTGGTACTGGGGATTGAACTCGGCTCCTTGCACTTGCAAAGCAGGCGCCAGAACCACTGAGCTAAATCCCTGGCCTGGCAGTTTACTTTTTATTTTATTTTTCTATTATTTAAAAATTTTCTTTATATCACATTGTTAGAACAAGATATTTTAAAATTAGAATTCTGTCCTCAAATTAAAGTGTAAATAATTAAATACTTAAGTTGACCATGGAAATGTTGATTCTGTTGGAGTTCTGTGTCGATTTTTTCATTTATTTTAGAGTTCATGGGGAAAGCAAAACTTGGCTCTTATTAACTGCAAGATATATTTTCTTCTCAGGAATTCTGCAGTAGAAACTGTAGAACAAGAGCTTCTCTTTGTTGGGTCTGAGACTGGAAAACTTCTGGCCATGAGAGAACTTGTTAAAAAGGTATATTATACTACATTCTTGAATTTTGATAAACTTCACCAACCTTATTTTACAGTGGAAGACTCAGCACTGTATCATCATCATCATGCATTGTATTTAGTAATGCAGTGGTAGTAAGTCTTCTGTTCCTGGCTCAGAGTAGGCTAGGAGAAGATTTACCAGATGCCCTGAAAGCTGCATTTTCTCAAATGTACATATATACGGCCCCTTCTTTCCCCCATCTCTCTGCCAGTTTGTTATAGAAGAACTGGAACAGTATAGAATGAGTAAGACACTTGAGTTGGGTTTTCCTTTTTTATCCTTTAGTATGTACTGAGTAGAATCCATAGTTAAAAAGTTAATTAATGGGGCCGGGGATTTAGCTCAGTGGTTCTGGCGCCTGCCTTGCAAGCGCAAGGTCTCGAGTTCTCTCCCTGGTGCCAAAAAAAAAAAAAAAGTTAATTAATGAGGGTAGGGGACAGGCTAAGGAATAAAAAAGAAATCTAAGTACTAACCCCTACTACCTGGAATTTAGCCTTATTTAGAAGACAAAATAAATGTATTTGTGTGATATAGTTTGTGGTAAAGTGCCATAAAAGTCTAAAAGAGTATTTTTCTTAAGCATCCATCAAGTCATGATGGGACCTTCAGGGTAGGCTTCATTGATTGGGGAAAGCCTTTACTAATCTGTGTCTTGAAGGGTCTGTAGGGCAAAAGGTAAAGGGGGAAAATATTACAGTCTGGGAGAGGAGCTTGAGTACAGAAAGCTTCAAGAGGTAGAGGTGAACACCACATGTTTGGAGACTAGTGAAGTTATTTGTCCTAGGAAAAGAGTTAAAGGTGGGGAATTAAAGATCAGGTTGGACAGAAAAGTTAGGGTCAGATTGAGAGAGACCACTGGACATTTTTAAAGAAAATGGCCACACAATTTTTAAGAAATATAGTCAAAAAATAATATGTAAGATGGGATGTAAGGGGGTTGATTGGGTTGAAAGTAATGAAAATAGCTGGCTGTTAAATAAGGATGAGCAGAGATGAGGGAGAAGTAAATGAGGATGACAGCATTAGTGGTGGAATGTCCAGAAGAGGAGTTGCAAGGTGGAAGAGAAAGGTATTAACATGTAACTGGTGACTATGGAAGTGGTGTGCTTTAGAGTGAGAGCATGGACTCCAGAGCCAGAAGCCCGGATTGAAATTCTAGCCTATCTGTTCTACCTTTGGGCTACTTACCTCCTCTCTGTTCCACAGTTTCTTTATTTGTCAAATGGGATAATACATACCACCTAGAATTGTTTCAGTATTTGAGTTAATAGAAATAGAGTACTTATGGTAGTACTTGACACATAGTAAATGCTGTATGTGTCCATTTTATTCTTAAGGATATCATTTGCCACTAGGAAACTTGGGATTTTCACAAATATTCAGATGGAAATAATACATCAGAGAACTTTAAACATGTATGAACTTTAGGAAGTCTGTGAACTCTGAAATTATATGTAAGATTTTATGTGGATGAGTGGTTTCCTGTTAGAAAGCTTCATAACTTTCCTTAGATTCCAAATGGGATATGTAAAACAAAATTAAAATGCTTCAAGATTCAGTGGCCATGCCTATAATTCTAGCTACTCAGAAGGCAGAGGCAGGAGGATTACAAGTTTAAGACCAGCCTGGGCAGTTTAGCAAGACCTTGTCTCAAAAGGGGCTGGGGATGGTACAAGGTCCTGAGTTCGATCCCTGGTACCCAAAAAGAGAGGGCTGGAGATGTACATACTGTAAGTCAGTGGTAGAGTACTGCATACACCGCCCCCCCCCCGAAAAAAAAAAAGCTAAAAGCAGCCCTGATGTGGATATTCAAAGGTAAAGAAATCTGCCGGGGATTTAGCTCAGTCATGCTGCTGCCTGCCTCACAAGCATAAGGTCCTGAGTTTAATCCCCGGTACCAGCAAAAAAACAAAGATAAAGAAAGCTGGTCTGAGAGAGAGGTGTTGTTTGATGATACAAATGATAAAAATAATTTGCTTAGAGCTAATAGTTGTAACTGAGATTTTATTTGACTCAATAAGGTAAAGATTATATTGAGAGAAGTTAGAAGAAAGGACCAAGCTGTGAGAAAATGCCAAAATTAGGATAAACAGTTAAAGAGACAGTAGTTAGATTATAAGCAGAACCAAAGTTCTGAAGCATATAAGCCAAGATGATTTTTTCAGAGTGAGCATCCATTATTGGAAGAAAGTGAGGAAGGATTGATTGGACTAGTTTATTGGAATTAGCAAGATAGAGAATACAGTTGAGGGGAAGGAACCTATTGTAGAGAATAGATAGATGGTGAGGAAGATGGAGATGGATTTAGACTACTGGCCCGAGAGATTTAGTAATGAAAGTACTTGACTGAATTGGATTCTTTTGTGAACTAAAGTCATATGAAATATTCATGATATTCTTGCTTATGAGTTATGTGTGCTAATTTTTGCCATCTTTTTTTAGGGTTTCAATCCACCTCTTCTTGTTTTTGTCCAGTCCATTGAAAGAGCTAAAGAACTTTTTCATGAGCTCATATATGAAGGTATTAATGTGGATGTCATTCATGCAGAAAGAACACAAGAACAGGTAAAGTCAAATGTATCTTCAAAACTATAATGAGCTACATAATTTTAAGATACTGGCGTTAAATTTATGAAGTACCTATTTTCCATTCCTAGAATTGTACTAAAGCATGTAATGTATATTCTCTTAACCAGAGAGATAACACAGTCAACAGCTTCAGAGCAGGAAAAATCTGGGTTCTTATTTGCACTGCTTTGCTTGCAAGAGGGATTGATTTTAAAGGTGTGAACTTGGTGATCAATTACGATTTTCCAACCAGCTCGGTGGAATATATCCATAGAATAGGTGAGTTGCCTTTTTTTTTCTTTCCCTGTCACCCACTCAACTATTTTAGCATTTTTACTGTTCCCTTCAGACATACTCAGTATGTGAATCCTGAGACACCATTTCCCCCCCAAAATGTGCTTTTTTTTAATGGTCTGATTTCTCTTAGGTCGAACTGGAAGAGCAGGACATAAGGGAAGAGCTGTTACATTTTTCACTGAAGATGATAAACCATTATTGAGAAGGTAATTTAGGAAAATAACAGTATTCATTTGACAAAGTTGTTTCATTACTTTTGTATGTATATTCTATTAACAGATAATTACAAAATAGCTATGTCCCAGATTCTATTAATGGTATTAGTCAACTAAATTTTTAGCCACAAGAAAAGGAAAAATGATCAAAGAGCCTTGTTTTTGCCCTTCGATTATTAGAATTTGGGAATATTCAAAATGGAATATTCATTTTTAAGTTTCCGATTCACAGGACTCTTCTAATAGCCAGCCACTGATTGATGGTATAGTATAATATTAAGGTTTTGAATTAGTGAATAATTTTTAATTAGATTTAATTTTTAATTTTTAATTATTTAATTTTTAATAATTTTTAATATTCTCTTCAGCTGAGTTAGCCTTCTCTCTTACCACAGTGCATCCTTCCCATTACAGTTAGGGCCAGATGGAATTTTATATTTAGTTACAGAATTATTTGCCATATAGGGAAAAAAATTTTAATAACATATCCCAACTTTTCTCCATTGTAAGCCTTTTTAAGTCTACGTAACATATACTTTTGGAAACTCAGGTCTTACTTTATCCCATCATTATAGATTTTAATGTAGAGGATAGGTTTCCTATATTTTGGCTATCTGCAGTAATTTTGGGGTAATGATAACTGAGAAGCACTTCACATTTCTAACAAATGAAATTTAGTTATGGCCTAAAGGCATTTGTAGTTTGATCTGATTATCAGTTCTGATAAAGATTTTGATTTGTACCCTCTGAGCTTTGACTGTCAGCCTTTGTACAGCTCTGAGTAGACTTTCATATGTGCATGTGTAGTGGGTGAATTCCAACAGCCTAAAGCCACCTCAGGTCTTCTTAGCAACCCGGGATAATAATAGTATTTTACTTCATAGGGTTCTGAGGAGTGAATAAGTTAATATACAAGAAAAATTTACAATACCAACCCCATAGTAAGCACTGTTCTTTGATAAATTTAGGCTTGACTCTGGCTTCATTCTTTGTTTTCTCAAAGGTTGGGCCTACTAGCTTTTCAAAGCTTGATTAATGTTGAAATAATTACTACCTAAAATTACTCAGCAATAAATGCCTTGATTTTAGTCCCATGTATAGTTCTTTCAGTAAGAAAGATACTAAATGTATCTCTCAATGTAGATACATTTAGTGGTAGTTGAGGTCAGAACATTTTACTTTAGTACTTTGTGTAGTCTTAGTTCCTCTTATTTTGTGCATAAAATTTGTGTACATAAGCATCAGTTTGACAAGAGATAAATTTATGTTTATGGGTTCCTTTTTCAGTGTCGCCAATGTTATACAGCAGGCCGGTTGTCCTGTACCAGAATACATAAAAGGTTTTAAGAAACTACTAAGGTATATCTTGAATTTACCTGGAGTTTTTTTTCTGTCTTTACAAATACATTCTTGCTTTTTTTTTTTTAATACCGGAGATTGAACTCAGGTCCTTGTGCCGGCGGTGGAACCACTGAGCTAAATCCCAGGCCCCATTCTTGCTTTTTATTTTGTTTGTTTTCTTGCCCTTTATTTATTTTTTATAAGTATATATCCCAAAACAATACTGTACAGTTTAGTTTTGCATGTTTTTGATCTTATATATAGTGCTTCTCTACTTAGAATAGGATTACATCCTAATAAACTCATTGTGAGTTGAAAATTTTGTTAAGTTGAAAATGTATTTAAGGGCCAGGGATTTGGCTCAGTGGTGCCCGTGCCTGCCTCGCAAGCACAAAGGCCTGAGTTTGATCCCCGTTACCAAAAAAAAAAATGTATTTAATGCACCTCACATACCAAACGTCATAGCTTTAGCAACCCAGTACGCTATAGAGTATCAGTTGCTTATCCTCATGATCAGGTGGCTCACTAGGAACTTTGGTTCATTGTTGCTGCCCAGCATTGCAGAAGAGTGTGGTACCATATTGTGGTACCAGTGCTAGCTGGAAAAAGATTAGAATTCAAAGGACAGTTTTTACTGATGTGTATCACTTTTGTACCACTATAAAGTGAAAAAATTCTAAGTCAAATCATTGTGGTTGGGGAACACCTATAAATAGTATCAAACTAGATATGTTCTTTTTTTTTTTCTTTCTTTTTTTGGTACCGGGATTGAACTCGGAACTTTGCGCTTGCAAGGCAGGTGGCAGAACCACTGAGCTAAATCTCTGCCCCTAGATATGTTCTTTTACTTTCTGTTCTTGTTCAAAGTCAATGTTTGTATTTTAAATTAATGGGGATCAAACGGAAGGGATCCACCAAAGGCCTCGTGTATGATAGGCAAGCACTGTTAACACTGAGCTATGCTTCTAGCCCTTGATTTTTTTATATTGTGGGAAAATACATATGAAGCCTACCATCTTAACCATTTTTACATGTACAGGTCAGTGGTATTAACTACACTCATATTTTGCAACCATTACCACCATCCACTGTTTTCTGCTTATAAAATTGCCACTCTGTACCCATTAAACAGTAACTCCCAATTCTCCCCTGCCCCTAGGCCCTGGCAGTTGCATTCTAATTTCTCTCTTATTTTGACCATTCTAAGTATGTTATATGAGTGGAATTCATACAGTATTTGTCTTTTTTGGAATTATTTTACTTAGCATAGTGTCTTCAAGGTTTATCCATTTGTATACTCAGAATTTCCTTCCTTTTTAAGGCTGAATAATATTCCATTGTATGTATATACCACATTTTACTTAACCATTTATCTGTTGATAGACATTTACTTTGCTTCCACATAACTATGTGAATAATGCTGCCATGAATATGAGTATACACATAGGTCTTCATGCACTCTTTTTTTTTTTTTTTTTGGTACTGGGGGGTCGAACTTCGGTCCTTGGGCTTGCACAGCAGGTGGCGAAACCACTGAGCTAAGTCCCCGGCCCTATGCACGCTTGATTTTACATTCTGTCTTATACATTATAAGTCAACCAATAATTTTAGAGCATTTTAAGATAAAAAATTTTACATTTAAATATTTGTGACTGTTACTTTATTTCCTTCCCAATTTTTGATCCTTGAAATTTTAAGTATTGAGGTTTTTAAAAAAACTACTCAGTGTGAGTGAAATATACTTATTTTAGTTCTTAAAATGAATTTAAAAATTAATTGATCAAAATCAAACTCTAAGGGCCAGGGATGTAGCTCAATGGCACAGCACCTGCCTGGCAAGTGCGAGGCCCTGAGTTCAATTTCTGGTACAAAAAAAGAAAAAAAAAAGACCAAACTTTAATGGTTATTGACATAGGATATAAAGGCTGTGTTTTAATAACAATCAGAGGCTTTTTAAAAGATTAAATTTATCATCCCTTGAGATAGCTAAGTGCTATTGGGTAATTTAGTTTATTAAAGTGGATACTGCCCCCACCTTAAATCTGTAAGTAGTTAAAAAATGCATTTTGGGATTAAGAATCAGAAGTAATTTTAGTTTTAGTTTTTCCTAAATGAAGTTTCACCTAATTTATTTCCTTTCTCACTTTGTAACTTTCAGCAAACAAAAGAAAAAGATGGTTAAAAAACCATTGGAAAGGGAAAGTATTAGCACAGCTCCAAAATATTTCCTAGAGCAAGATAAAGGTAAATGGTAAGTATATACATGGTTAAAAATCAAAAAGTTGAGATTTGACTCATATAGTTATAGGCAAAAATTTTTTTCAGTTAAATTTTTAGGTAGATTAGGTCTACAGCCCATTATAAAATGTGACTTAATAATATATCCTAGGTTATCTATGATTTGGGAACTTAGCTGATTTAATCTTGGAATTTTTCTGTAGATCTAGTTTTGTTCCATATTTGAAAATATGGTTTCAGTTCACTATGAATTGTCTACTCTCTCCACATAGTCTGCATCAGGACATGCTACTGAAGCCACCAAGACTCAAGACCATTGGCTCACATTGATCAAGTCTTCCCTGAGCGTCATATTCTGGGCCAGATTTCATTATAATCTTAGGTTTATGCTGAAGCACACTGTACCATCTTAACAAGTAGTACTTGGGTAAATTTATACTGGCTTAGCCTAATTTTTGAGATTTTTAAAGTATAGTTCTTGAAGAATACATACAAGTCTACCTTATTTTCACAGAGTGTTAGGACTACATGTTTTGGTACAAGTAGGCCAAAATATTCTGAATAGTACTACTCTTTCCACTATGTAAGGAAAATGGTATTCTTCAAATTCTTCCATTACTAGATTAATATATGCTGTAATAGAATTGCCTCATTCTAATAATTTCTTAGAGGGAGAGTGTGTGTGTTTCCTCAGAATGTCATCAGTGTCCTAAGATACTACATACTGTTGTGAAATAAACTATTGGTTCTTTCCATTGCCTTACATCTGTTCTCTGAAAATTAGAAAAAACTTGCATCGACCCATAGGCATTAACTGAGTTAGCCTGCAAGGTGCTTAGTGGTAATAAAGTGCACAGATTAATACAAAACAAGCCACTTTTTCTGAAGATAGGAAAAGAGGCTAATATCCACAAAAAAATTAGAGAATGGTTTTAAATAAAATTGGAGATTAGCAAAAGGCAAGATTATTATGGATAGGCATAGTTACAGAAACTTTCAAGAGGCAAAACTATCTTTTAAGTTGAGCAAGTAGAAGGAAGAAGGTGAAGAAAGGTATAATAGCTGGTATGTATTTTCCTTGTAAGTGGGTCAAGAGTCTTACATGACCTTTTGGTATGGACTATGGAGGAGCTAGTGTTCAGTTCAAGTATAGGCAGTACAAAGTGTCCCAAAATTTTAGTGCACTTTTACTATTTGGAGAAGAATAAATGCCACAAACAAGTAACAAAAATGTTATTTGAAAGCCTAATAATTTTAATTCCATTTGTACATACTCAGTTTTGTGGATTATTAATACATTAATTGTTGTGGTGACAGTTTCTGGGTGACACTCAGACCAGTGATAGAGGTAGGGAACATGGGAGGGAGTCACATGAGAACTCTCACACAGGCATCAGAACCTTCTTTGAATGATCTTACAGCTAAAATTACAAATGCAGTCTTTTCAGGCACTGAGCAGCAACTGTTGTGAGCTTTTACATAGGATGAAAATCACCTAGAGCAGGGCTGGAGATAAGAGTGCATGTTTGAGACCCTGCATTATGGGTTTTGGTTTTTTTTATTGTTGTTGGGTTTTTTTTCTTTTTTTTTTTAGCTTTTCGAAATTATTTTGTTATTGTCTTTGGATCAGGCACAGTAATAAGAAATACAACTGAAGAAGTCTGGTTTTTCTTTTAAAAACTCAATATTCTATTTTGATAAATTCCACACACATGTTGAAATAATCGTACAATGAACACCCATATGTCCACTCATGTATATTTTTCAATGAGCAGTTTCTTTTAATTGGTTTATTTCCAACTGTACATTTATCCATTCCTTCATCTATTTATCAATCCATCTTAATTTTTTGATACAATCAGTTGTAGATGTTAGCATACTTTGTTGATAAAGGTTTCAGTATTGTTATTATTTTGGTTGTATGAAACAGGATCTCACTGTGTAGTTCAGGTCAGCCTCGAACTCACTATGTAGCCCAGGCTGGCCTTGAATTCACAGCACTCCTCTTGCCTCAGCTTCCTGAGCTGTGTGTATATTACTAACTAGATTTTTATTTTGACTTACAGTTCTCTTTCTTTCCTTAAATAATATGTGCATGTAATGATCCTCCACTGTCTCTCACCTCAGGTAAATAGTGTTCTAATTTTTTTCCATCATAGATTATGTCTACTTTAGAACTTCATATACAAGTGGATAAGATTTGTATCATTCAGTATAATTTTCTTCAGTACTGGGGACTGAACCCAGGGCTTTCGCACTGAGCTACATCCCTAGTCACTTTTATTTTGATACAGGGTCTGACTAAGTGATTAACTTGCCTAGGGTGAGCTCAAACTTGTAATCCTGCCTCAGCCTCCCAGAGTGCTGGGATTGCAGATAGGCATCACCATCCCCACTGAGCATAATGTTTTTTGGTTTTTTGGGTTTTCTGAGACCCAGACATGTCATTGTGTGCCTCAGTACTTCCTTTCCACTGTTGAGAAATATTCTGTTACGGGACTAAGCACGGTCGGTCTGTCCACTCTCCTCTTGATGAACAATTGAGCGGTTTCCAGCTCTGGGCTGTGATGAGTAGAGCTGCTGTGAGCATCGTAGAACAGTATTTTGTGGACATACGGATTGATCATATTCAGAGTGGAATCACTTGGTCACAGAATCTGTGTGTACTTAATATCATGAGACACTACTAGGGCTGCTTCCCAGCGTGATTATGCTGTTTCACACTACTGCACCACCGGCACTGGCCAAGTTCTGGGTGCTCCACGTTCTTGCCCACGTGTGGTGCGGTCAGTCTCTTGAATCAGTCTTCTAGGGGCGCCTCTGACACCCCATTGTGGCGTCCATTGGCATTTCCCGGTGACTAATGGTGTCAGGACTCTTCATATGCTTCTTGGCAATCAGCAGGCATTCTTTGGGGAACGTCTACTCAACATCTGTGTCCACTTTTTATTGGGTGGTGTATGTTTTCCTGAATTGTAGGAGTTCTTTACAAATCCTGGGTATCAGTTTCTGGTCAGATGTACCTTTGTGAACCTATTTCTTCCTTCATTTTATCCACCTTGATCTTCATTCTGTAAAAGGAGAACCTGTGCCAAACAACATCCACACAGCTTACCTGAAGACCCTTGGGCCCTTGCACTTTAAGGCAGGGGGTGCTCAGGAAACTGCTGGCTGCCAGGACTAGGCTTTCCATTTGTATTTATCTGTGGCTATTTTCAGCATGGAAGTAGTGTGCTTGTTTTCCTTGTTTACTTTAAACAGTTGTCTCAGCTAGGAGTCTTTCTGTCTGGCAAGGATACGTTTTCCAGGCTTCCTAAGAGACAAGGACCAAGCCTCAGCAGCAGCACCAGAAAGGTCTGTTCAGGTCCTGACCCAGGGACATGGCCGGCATGGTGAGGAGAGGAAGACATGCTCTCTATGGCCACAAGGCCCAGAGTGAGGAGGCTTCGCCTTCTGTGAGCTGCTGCTGCCGGGGCCAAGTGGAGCAGGCACAGCTGCCTCCCAGTTGCCGGGGTCCAGGAGTGCGGGGCATGGCAAGATCTGGGCACAGGGCTCCACCTGGTGCTGGGAAAGGATCTGGGCAGAGCAGCTGGCAGCTGCGACTCCTGGCTCCTCCTGTGGAAGGAGGCCAAGGGACTGTCACCACCTCTGACCCCAGGGCTGCTCCCTGGGTTTTTTTTCTTTAATCAGCTACAGCATAAGATGGTGGCTAGGTTGAAATTTAATAAAATACATCAGTATGTTTTTATGTTTGTAGGGCTTTTGTTATTTTTGTGGGGTTTTTTGGGCGGTTTTTTTTTGGGGGGGGGACCGGAGATCGAACTCGGGACCTTGTGCTTGAGCAGCAGGCGCCAGAACCACTGAGCTAAATCCCCGGCCCAGGGCTTTTGTTATTGTACAGTACTGAGAATTGAACCTAGGACCTCAGGCTTGCTAGGCAAGCACTCTGCCACTGAGTCATATCACCAGCCCTCTTCAGGGTAAATGAAACTTAGCAGCATGAAGACTTTGAGGGCATTTGGTATAAATCTTGTCATATCTACTTAAAATGCTTTTGCTTTCTTTCCATTTTCTGCACATTTAAAGGCCATCCTTCTTAAAGGATATAAACAAGACCCTTCCTGATCTGATTGTAGCTTACCTCTCCGCCATAGGTATTCCTTTAATGGTCCTTCTCATGCCTGTAGTCCCAGTGCATCCCTCAGCTGATAACTCTTATGCCCAGCTTCAGCACAGCTTCCCATCCCTGTTGCCTAGTGGACTTCACTTCAGACATGTTAAACTTGTTATAATTGGAGGGTGGGGAGGGAGGATTGAACTTGGAGTCAGGAAACTGATTCTTCTACTTTCCTATTTGACTTTGGACAATTCACTTCACCTCTCAAGTCTCCTTCCCCCCAGTGGAAATAATTACATAAGTAATACAAACTGCTGCTTAGGGTTGGTTAGAGGAGTAAATGAGTTAATATATACTAAAGAACTTTGCATTACTACAGCAAACATTATTGAAACATTTTTCTTTTCCAGTGTTATCACTTAGCAGTTATTGGTTAGTTAGCACTGAGTAAGTAATGGCATTTACCATTCACGAGGCTCTATAATCACCTTGTTGGGGTTCATGTCTAACAGTTTTTACCGGTGTGTGATGATTGACAAGTTATCAGCCACTCTGTTCCTCATTTTCTTCATCTGTAAAATGAAGCTAATAAAATCTTCTTTTTAAGTCATTATGAAGATAACCCAAGTTAATAATTAGCATGTGAAACAGAGTACTTAATAAGCACTGAATCAATGTGAAGTTTCATTATTAGCTCAGAATCAGAATCTATCTTTCATACTTTGTAGTAGTGTGGTTTATTGTGATGTCACTGTCTGACTTAGGTGACAGTGATTTTCTAAAGGGCAAAGACTAGGTTTAATGCACCTTTGTGTTCTTAGTGCCACATATACTTTGATATACAGTAGGTTTCATTACGTGTTTATTAAACCCTCAGAATTATAAGAAAAGTAAGTAGAGAATATCTGATTCAACTTTTTATTTCCTTTTCACAGGAAAAAGGTCACTGGCCAGAAGAACAAGAACAAGAAGAAGGTAGCTCTTGAAATCAAAAGTTAACAACAGACTTTTTAAAAAGACTCACAGAAATTAATTTTATGGTTCCAGCGTGAATGTTTTCATAGAACACTTCAAGGCTTGTAATCACTGCTGCCAAACATTTGGAATCAACTACAAGTACATAAAACTGAAAAATGATCTTAAACTATCAATGCATCATGTCAGATTTTAATTTGTAGGTGAAAACTGTACAATGGATAAAACACTTACTGCTATTTCTGTAGTTGAATCCAGAGAGATACTTTTTTTTTGGTACCAGGGATCTTAGGACCTCGCGCTTGCCAGGCGGGCACTATGCCGTTGAGCTAAATCCCCGGCCCAGAGAGATACTTCTTATAGAAGAACAAAACCTTATGGTAAATAACACCCAAATGTGGTGAACTCTTAAGCATTTTTCCCTTCAAGTGTGAAGGAAAGTGTGATATATGCCATGGAGAGGCATCTGGAACACAATTTAAAATAAAGCCTTAAGATTGCTCTTCTACTCCTTCACACACACAGTTATTTATTTACTCACTTATATTTACAGTGCTGGGGATTGAACCCAGGGCTGCTTCTCTCTCTTTTCATTTTTTGGGGGGGATGGGGAGGGATGGAGAAGAAACAGAACAGGCCAGCTATCAGATAGAAACCTACTGTTTCTTTAATATTTCTTAATTTGTTGCTGATCTTTGGTTGTGTGAACCACAATAGAGATGCCTCTTCTGTAGCTGGTGTTCAAGTTCCCTAAAATTTTAAATTGTTTGGTCTGTTAAGTATCCTTATATCTCATTGGAAAGATGCTTGTACTTAGCTGTCACAATGTTGCAGCTACAAGATTAATCAGCCTCTCCTTCGTTCTCCATCATTTAATCATGCTCTTTCTTGTCTCTTCATTTAAGATGATTTTGTTCAAAAACTGAAAAATGTTTTATCTAGATAAGGAAGAACATTCATATCACTCAGTACACTTCTGGCTTCATTCTCTTACAACTTATCTTTCCTGAGGCTTGATTGTCCTTTATCCATTGAGTAAGCAGGTCTCTGTCAAAGGTAAAGGGTTATGATTACATGGTGAATTAAGCTATTTTCTGTAATCAAGGTTTTTTTCAATTACTAGTTTTGTACACTAGAATTTTTAAAAACATTTTATACAAGTAAGGCACTTAAACTGGCACCCTTGAACGACATGATTTTACCAGTACTACCACAATACTGTAATATAGGTAGCTCCTCAGCAGCTTCTGAGTTAAACTTACTTGATTTACTCTTGACCTTTTTTCCTAGAGTCTGCACAGGTACACTCTGCCTTGAACAATTTAGAAGAGACAAAAACTGCTTATCTTAGAAGCACATGATTTTTTGTTCTTATAAACAGATCCTTGGTTCAGCATAGATTCTGGAAGTATGTGCAATCTATTTGCCTGTTGGGTGCCTTTGAATAAGTTCTTTAATTTCTTAAACCTTCACCTTTTTCACCTCTGAAACTATATATATCTCAAGATTGGAAGTATCTAGCACTATGCTTGAAATTACTGTAATAAACCCACAACAAATATTCCTCTATCAAACATTAAGGTTTTTGTAGGAATATAAAGGTTGATAACTGTTCCTGCGTTTACAATTAACAGTGGAAATAAAGTGAATGAAAAATAGTGTGGCAAATGCTGTTAGATGTAAGACCATGTTGCTGAAGCATCATGGGGGAGCCATCTAACCCAAATTTGGGATATCATGTAAGGCTGACATCCTGAACTGAGTCCTGCAGATACGGAGATTAATAAGCAAAGAGGATGAACAAAGTATTCCATGCACAAAGATCACATCTCCCACAATTCTTGAAATACTCCGTTATTTTTTTCAAGTATTATGTAGCCACCCAATCTATAAATGTCTACAGAAATCTGTATCAATTTAGTTTGTCAATGGATTCTGAAATTAAACTCCTTTATACCGTTTGGAGCTATCTGCTATCTAAACTTCAGCTTTTCCTAGTAAAGAGAGGGGTGAAATTAGTGACTGGACAGTTCAAATAACATGATAACTGAATAGCTGGTGCAAGTGAAAGGAGCAAGGGCTTTGGAGTCAAACTGGCCTGTTTATTCCGGTCCTGCTTGTAGCTGTATGATCTGGGCAAATTACATTGATTTAAGATTGGTTTTTTGGTCTATAAAGTTCTAATCCTCACTCGTAGGCACCCTGAGGTTTTGTTTTGTTTTTTGGTACCGGGGATCGAACTCAGGACCTTGCACTTGCGCAGCAGGCGCCAGAACCACTAAGCTAAATCCCGGGCCCCACTCTGAGTTTTTAAATGCACTTAAAATTCCTGACCAGTGATTTGTACCCAGTAAGTAATAACTTCATACAAATTCTCTGTCAAAGTCCTAAGGCAAGAGTGAAAGAAGAAAAAAAAGGGCTTAATTACAATTAATCGATTACTTGGGAGCGTGGGAGTTTCACTTGACTTCCATTTTACTTCTAGATAGCAGTTTGATGGGCGGCGGAGGACGTGGAAAACATCCCGAGGTAGGTCAGACTAACTGCGCCCCTCCCAGCACCACTGTTTTGTCCCAGGCAGAAAGAATAGGAAAAATATGTGGACTAGTAAGTGTGGTGTGATGGCAGAGTCAATCCCAAGAATGGCGCACCTCGGAAGTTTTTAAAATGTGGATTGGATTTATGTACTCTTGGTTGGTTTACTAAAATATATTGTAAATACCTTTGGTGGCTTGAGATGGATGCCAAAGGGAAGCTGCGGAACACCAAGGAAAGAGTAGAGAAAATTAATCACATCATGAATAACTAGCAGTGTTAAGCTATCAAAGGGTCCACCCAAGATCTATCCTTGATACGTAATGAGTAACAATAAAAGAACACTTGTGTACCCTTATCCAGTTAAAAATGGGAACTCAGCCCCTTTGCACTAATCGATGTGCGCGCTTGCAGAGAACTACAGCAGCCTGCTGCCGTGAGCCTTTCCCAGACAATGCGACTCATCCCGAGGGCCGCCCACCCTCCCCGAAGCCTGCCTCGCACCAAGAGCACCCCCCCCGCAGCGCCGGCTCTCACAGCCCGCCCCGCTCCTCCCGGGGCGCAGGGTCACGTGGGCACACGGCCCCGCCCCGTCACCCGGGCCCCGGCGAAGTGGGCCTGGCGTTTGCCCCGGAAGTACCTGTCCGGCTGACAGCTGCTGGCGCGGCGGCGGCGGGTCTGAGGAAGATGGCGCTGCGGCCGGGAGCAGGAGCTGGCGGCGGGGCTGCGGGAGCCGGCGCGGGGGCCGCCGGGGGAGGCAGGTGGGTGTGAGGAGCCGGGTCCGACGGAGCCAGGCGGGCCTCCCTGGCCGTCTCCGATGACGACACGGGGCGCAGGGCCCCGCAGAAGCGAGGGGGCTCGCCGGTTACGGCCGTTTCCCAGCCCCAGCCCTAGCCCTCTCTTCCTTCGGAACGGGGCTGGGGGAGACGGGTCCTACCCCGGGGACCCCTGCTTGGGTCGAGGGTCGCGCGGCGAGGCTGGGCAAATGCGGAACCCCGGCTCCTCGCCTCCTGTCCAAGCTACAGCTGAAGCTGCCAGGGTCTTCCCTTTCCAGGGCTTTCTGGGCTTGACCAGTTCTACTGAAGGGGTGGCTGTGAAAAATCTGGGCACAAAGCAGAAGGAACTGTTCCCAAGATGTATGTGTGTGTTTTGTCTTTTTCCTTTTTAGAGTATCCCGTCCTGCCCTTTTTAAATTTCTTTTCTTAACACAGGACAAATGGCAGGACAATCCAAAGACCTTTGAATTAGTAATTGTGCTGTGATGGACCTCTTGTGTAACTCTAAAACTTGTCTGCCCCCTTTTAAAGAGGCATTTAAAAACAAAGAAAATTCGCTGAACAGTAGTTATGCATTTATTATAACAAAGCCTCCAGACTTATATGTAGCCTTTAAGCAAAACTGCCGTTTGTCTTATTTCAGCTAATTACCGTCTGTGGTTTTTATTATGTCCAGAACGTTAAGGCGATAAAACATTTGCAGCTTGACAAGTTTTATTATTTAAGGAAACATTTTATTGCAGGAAGTCGTCACCCTACTTCTATAATGACCTAGTCCGATTTTGTCTCACTTGTCAACACATTGTGCACACACATTTGGAGATAAAACTAGCTTTTTATGTTCAGTATTCTAAATTATCATTGGATAAAAGTGTAAGTTCTTTTAAAGTTACCAGCTCTTGCCTGTGCATAATACATGCTAGGAAAAATAAGCCACCTATGTGTGGTCCCATTTTTCATTCTTTTTGTTTGTTTGTTTTTTGAAGCAAAACATTTATTGGTACATTTTAGATATACATAGTGATAACATTCATCATGGGGAATTTGTACCTGTTCATTATATATCTTGCTGCTGCTTTTTTTTCTCACTCCCCCACCCTTCCTTCAACCCTTCTTCCCTCCTTATTTACAAAAGCTTTGTTTCCATTTTTTTCCTTCTCACCCTTTTATCTTGTCCCTTCTTTCTCTTCCCTCTCCCACCTCCCTTGTTCCCCTTCTCATTTGAACATTTTCTTCCCATTTGCCAATATCTGTTATACATTTTGGTCCTTATTTCCACTTTTGGTTTCTCACACCAGAGAAACAGGTATTTAAACATGTGTGTCCAATTTATTTCACTTGAGTATGGTCTCAAGGTGCATCCATTTAGCTAGAAATGTCTCGAGCTCATCCTTTATGGCAGAGTACTCCATTGTGTTAAAAAAAACAAACCACATCTTTATCCATTCATCGGTTGATGGGCACTTGGGCTGTTTCCAAGATTTAGTTGCTACAAACTGTGCTGCTGTAAACATGAGTGTGCATGTCTCAGTGTGGTATGATGCTTTTAATTCTTTCAGAAAGATATCAAGAAGGGGAATAGCTGGGTCAAATGGAACCTCTAGTGTTTTTTGAGGAATCTCCACACTGATTTCCACAGTGGTTATACCAGTCTGCACGCCCACTAACAATGGAGAAGGCTTCCTTTTTCCTCACAGCCCCACCAGCATTGGTTATTGGTTGATTTCTTTATAACAACCATTCTTCCTGGGGTGAGGTGGAATCTCAGCGTTGTTTTAATTTGCATCTCTTGAATGACCAGTGATGTTGAACACTTTTTCATATATTTATTTGCTGTTTCTTTTTCATCTGAGAAGTGTCTTTTCATTTCAGAAGCCCATTTCTGGATTGGGTCTTTAAATTTGGGGGGGGTCTGGGTTTTTTTTTTCAGTTCTTTATATATTCTAAATATTAGTCCTTTGAGGAAAAGCTGACAAAATTTTTTTCCCATACTATGAGTTTCATTTTTCATTCTTATTTTTTTTCACTGTTTCATTAGTTTTTTATGAATACTTAGCTGGAGAAGAAAAATACATATTAAACCCCTCCATTTCTTTCTATATATGATGACAGTTTCTAAAATGTTCCTAAGTGACATTAATTTAATGAAGTATAATAATGGCACCAAGTTCTAGGAAAATAGAAACTTAAAACAATTTGGTACTCCAGGCCTAAAGTTTTAATTGGGTGGGAAGGACCTCAGGTGCAGAAAGTTGATAGGATTTCTCATTTTGTTTTACAATATTTTAATTTCATTGACCCAGGGACATGTTTTTTGTGGGGTTTTTTTCCTAAATATGGCCTGAATTTTATAGAAATTAGAATGATAGATTTAAATTTTTCTCTCCTGGGCCGGGGATTTAGCTCAGTGGTTTCGCCACCTGCTGTGCAAGCGCAAGGACCCAAGTTCGATCCCCAGTACCAAAAAAAACAAAAAAAAATTTTTCTCTCCTGTAACAGTAGTAATATCAGCATTCTCAAATTCTAGAGTATGTGGGAGAGAAAAATTGACCCTGACTTTGAAAAATATACGGTAAAGGGGGGCCGGGGATTTACCTTAGTGGTTCCAGCGACTGCCTTGCAAGCACAAGGTCCCAAGTTCGATCCCTGGAAAAAAAAAAAAAAAAAAAAAATGTATATGTGTGTGTGTGTGTATATATATAGTAAATACGTTACATACATTGGAAACTTTCTGAGGCTGAGTAGCTGTATGTTCAATAAAGAATATTATGGTTTTTAGAGAGCAATAGTAAGAGCCAAAATTATTTTGTAAGGAACCTAACATTATGGTAGCCTAAGTATCTTTTAACAAAAATAAACCTCTCCAAGCTTTCTGTGGAGAAAATTAATGAACTAGATGGAATTAATCATATTTTTAGATACTTCTCTCTATTGTAAGACAGTAAGCAAAAAAGCAGTAGCATTTTTCAAGTTTAATATTAGCTTACCTTTGATTGCTATCCTGAATGGGCTACTTTAGAATAAGAGGTACAGATGTATAAAGGGCAAAATTTGCCCAAGATGAAAGTATATATTTTTAAATCAAGACAAAACAAAAGAGTTAAGAGATCTGGATTATTCACTGAGTGGCTACATGTGTAAGACACTGTTGTTGATGCTTATGAATTCAAAATATATCCAAAACATGTCCCCATGCTGGGAAAGTGAACAGAAAAACTGTAGCACTCTTTCCTGCTCTAGCACTCTTATTTCCTGCTCTTTTATAGCACTCTCCTTCCTTCTTTCCTTCTTTCATTACTAGGGATTCTGTTCTACCAATGAGCTGCATCCCCAGGCCTTTTTTTTTTGAGGCAAGATCTTGCTAAGTTGCCCAAGCTGGCCTCAAACTTGTGATTCTTCTTAGCTGTCCTAGTGCCTGGAATTACAAGTGTGTGTCACAGGGCCTAGCTCTTTTATAAACTCTTTGAGGGCTTCCTCATCTTTCTGTCTTCCACTGTGTCTAGCTTATTGTGATACATTCAGAAAAATTATTTGGTTTCACCTATATTGAAAGCAAATTATGTGTCAGCCAGGGACACTCAGTTGGAGGAAGAGAGAGGGGGTCAGGAGATTATTATAAAGGTGGGAAGGCCTAGGGAAAACATGTAAACAACATACCTGTGGTGCCAGATTATTGTGGTATTGAGTGGGGAGAAGAATTTTGTGTGATAAACCTGAAAGAGAAAGTTGTGCCCAGAACTGGGCATAGTGACTCATACCTATAATCTTTTTTTTTTTTTTTTTTTTTTGGTACCGGGGATCGAACTTGGGACCTTGCGCTTATGCTTGTGCTTGTGCTTGTGAGGCAGGCTGCGGAACCACTGAGCCAAATCCCCGGCCCTCACACCTATAATCTTAGCACTAGGGAGGCTGAGACAGGAGGATTGAGAGTTCAAGGCCAGCCTCAACTACTGTGCATAATGACACCCTGTCTCAAAAACAAACAAAAGGAAGGGACGATGGAAGGGAAAGAAGTGTGGGAGGGAAAATAAAGTTGTACTCAAACTGAAGACCTTGAGGTTAAACTAAGAGAATTCAGTTTACAGGGGAAATTGATATATGGTTTTAACCGAAGATGTGCATCATAACTTGTGCTGCCTTAGATGATTAGAAGCCACAGAACCTGGAGATGGGTGATCCATTAGGAAGTCTTTATTTAGGATTCCAGGCCTGAGAAGTAAAGACTCTTAGCAAATATAGATTAGTAGCAAAGTGACTGAAAAGGAGGGATGGGGGAAGTGAGCATGTGACAAATAGAGCTCACTAGTCTGCTCTGATACTGAGACTTCAGCAATGTATGAATTAGTTTTCTACTTTTGAAATCAAATTATTGGTCACCTGATGCATAGTTTTTGCCCCACTGTTGCTGTCTTATCAATACCTTAGCTACTTGACTAACAAGTCTATAATCATGTTGATATTAGTTGTCTAAACATTTCAGAGAATCGTGTAAATGGTACCTGGGTCACTAAGCAATCTGAATTGCTGAGTTTTTACCTAAGTTATGTTTATCAGAAGTGTTCTTAACTTTGTTTTTGTTTGTTACTGATTTTGTAGTATGGGGGATTGAACCCAGGACCTCACATTGTGCTCCATCCTCAGCCTTTTTAAAAAATTTTGAAGCAGGATTTTGCTAAGTTGCTAATTTGCCCAAGCTGGGCTCAAATTTGGGATCCTCCTGCCTTAGCCTCCCAGAGTGCTGGGATTAGAGGTATGGGCCTCTATGGCGAACTTACTTTATTTTTCAGGTAACCTTTATACATCTGTAACATGTATTCTTGTCTACATAGTTGTCTTAGTTGGAACCTTGACAGACTTTTAGGTTTATGCCCTCTTTTGGCAGGGGGGAAAACAGGGTAGCAAAAGAGATTGGATACGTTCATAATTTCTTGTGGCACAGTAAAAAAGAACTATAACTACAGTTTCTAGTTTTTACTAAGCTATTGAGCCAGACTAGTAATTTTAATCTTTAAGGATGATTTTGAAAAGTCTTGACAGATTGATTATTTAAATGCCTTTAATGCTACTAAATTTATCAATCTTTGTAGATGAGCAATCTCTTTAAAAACAAAGTACTCCGTGTATCAACTACAAAACATGA